TGCTTTGGGGCAACTGATATTTTTAGAACGAAGAACGTTAGCCTTACTTAGTTGATTGCTTCTCATAGCGTCATCCAACGAAACATTTTGTTTTTGTTTATTCCTGCCTATTCGGCATAAACGTGCAAAGCCACCTGGTTTTCCCGATCTCTTAATTTTCGACAAAGTCTGATTTCCCCCCCCCCCCCCGTTTTGTTTTCCGGAGGATGGGGGAAAGAAGAAAGAAATGTTTTTAGTTGGACAAAAGTGAAGCTTTTTGCCCCGCCGAAGAAGCCCTGGACAATAATTCTTCCTTCCAGTCTCACAACCATCTTCTCCGTTAAAGGAAAGTTGTTTGTGCCCCAGACTCGTAACAAAAACAAGAGAGTTAGTCCTAAATGCCATCGGGAACTAAGAGAGGCTAAGATTGAAACCGAATGCAATAATTAATCGCTGGCAAATATGGTGCCAAATAGATCATTTATTTCACTCTGAACTAGGGAGTGAAATGTACTGTTAAATGTTGCAAAAAATATACAAAGCGATAGATTCACTTCATGGGTGTTTCCCCCCCCTTGTGAAAGCTTCCCCCTTTCCTCTCCCGCTAATTATTGTTAAATATATTGGGGGGCGGGGAGACACTACTATATTGGCGTGGTGGTTAAAGAAACAGCTCTCACAATTTATATTCTGTACCTCAATCCTTTTAAAACATTTTTTTCCCATCTAGAATATCCAGTCGGGTATTAGGATCATTCAGTCCGCGGTGAGATAAAAACACAAGATTCTCCTAAATACAAGTGGCCTTTGGGAACGACCTAGCAGCACAAAAGCTACAGGGGTGGAGGGAAAAGGAGAAACCGAGGTTCGAGGCAGACAACTGGGAGTTGGAACTGCGCGCGGATTCATCAGAAAGGCCGCGGAGTCAATGCAGATCGCCTTTTACGGGGATATATATTTTTTTCTCTTTAAACTCGGAACTTAAGTAAACTCTCGCCCCAGTTTGGACATGGAGCGAAGAGCGGAGCGCAGATCAAACAGCAGACAGGACGCTCAAACAGGGCAACCTCTTTCATATTCCCCTGTATTGATGTTAATGACGATCATATTACAATGGGAATTGTGATACTCTAATCATACGATCGTGTGAAACGACTTTTATTTTTATTTTTATTTTAAAAATGCACCTAAGAAACCAACTTTTGCAGTCTGTGAAACGAATTAGCTAACCAGGACAATCTCAGACTGCAGCGTCTCGAAACGGAGCATCCCTCTTAAGAAAAATCCGGTTGAAACGTCCCCGGGTTGATTCAGGTTGGGAGAAGTTAAGATCTGCAGGCAAATTGCGGGCAGACAGTTGCTTCACCCGTTCCTTCGCCCTCTTCTCTCCGCATTGGAGGAAATGGCTGCGCTTATTCCTTTCACCCTCGCCTCACTTTGCGCACTGAGGTAGGGAGAATGCATAAGCATCTTTTGGCAACCGTTAGGGATTGGATTTTAAAAATGTCTTTCCTTCAAAAAATTCGGGGAGAGACACATATCTAATAATAATAATAATAAAGTTGGAAGGGACCTTGGAGGTCATCTAGTCCAACCCCCTGCTCAGGCAGGAAACTCTGTACCATTTCAGACAAATGGCTGTCCAGTCTCTTCTTAAAAACTTCCAGTGTTGGAGCATTCACCGCTCCTGGAGGCAGGTTGTTCCACTGGTTAATTGTTCTAACTGTCAGGAAGTTTCTCCTTAGTTCTAGGTTGCTTCTTTCCTTGATTAGTTTCCATCCGTTGCTTCTTGTCCTGCCTTCAGGCGCTTTGGAGAATAGCTTGACTCCCTCTTCTCTGTGGCAGCCCCTGAGATATTGGAACACTGCCATCATGTCCCCCCTCGTCCTTCTCTTCATTAAACTATGTGATACTTCACCATCTATTCTGGCAAGTGAGACCCACCGAGGTCAGCCAAACATTTTCCACCTTATTATTGCACTGCGTTTCGTCAGAATCATTTCTCCAGTTTCTTCACTGAGATTTACTCCGAGGTTAAGTACGGCCGTCTCCACCGGGGACCCCGCGTGTCTCCCATGTTTCCTACTGATGCGCGATTGTGCATCAATATTGCGCATACCTACGTCGCAGCCTTAATTGCAAGGCGGGTACATGGTAAATGGATGATAATGCAAAAGAAGCAGTTGTTGCACATCTGGGAAAATTCTGGGCGGTGGAAGCGGAGAAGTGATTTGAAGTAGTAGGAGCGAGGGGGAAGGTCTGCGCTCCGCATAAGCGCCACTGCCACCTTTGTAAATCTCTTTGAAAACAAGAACTACCCTGTTATTCTAAAGCCTTTTGATAGGTTTATCATTTGCATTGACTTTAATGATTTCATTAATTTCATTCTTGAATCACTAACGGGGCAAAGGAAAATATATGAGATTGAAGGCTGACTGATGAAATCGCCAGAGACTTAATCCGCGTTTTAGGGTGCGCGGGAGGGGTGGGGCGTGCTCTGCCTGCGTACGAGTGTGCGTGTGCGCGCTTTTAACAACCTTCAAGAAACATCTTTTAACTTAAAGCACCGGGGCGGTTAGTTTCTGAGCCTATGGCGCCCCCTCTGGATGGAAGTGTGAATTACACTTTATCTGCCGCAAAGGTGATTTGTTTATACTGTATAGAAATAACTGTTAAATTCCAAGAAGAAAAAAAAAACGAGACTGAAAGGAGAGTGGAAAAAGCGCAAGCCAAGCCAAGGAAAGGCGCCTGTCCTCCCAGGCAAGGCAACATGACAGCTAATGGTTTAAAGAATTGACAATGAGGGAAGCGCCCATCGCCGACGGGCTCCCTAAAAGTCCTTGCCTTTGCAGAGGATGCCCACGTTGTCTTTCGATGAAGGGGCGATTATATCAAGAGGCCAATCCATCACCCAGTGCACCCCAGTGCATCTTGACTGCTTGGTTTTACTCTTCCGCCTCACTTTCCCGGACGCTGCACTGACAACTTAATCGTCTGTTCAGTGGCATACTTTTCCTCTTCTTCTTTTAGAAGAAAAAGGAACGGAAAGCACTGTCCCCCTCCCCCCAAAAAAAACATTAAAAACGACTCGAGATTCCGGGGATTAAACCTTAATTTTAAAAGCTCACAAATTCACGCATTACAGATTCCCATTCAGTAGGAACCTCTGAAATCAGCGACGACTATGGTCGCTTTTAAAACTAATTTAGTAAAAATGTTGGCCTCTCTTAGAGAAGGAGGTGAGGGGGAAGAGTATGAGAGAGATATACATAGGTCTGAAGTTTGTCAATACGTTCAACAAGTAAACTCAGATCTTCAATAGAAAGGACTTTGCTTAAAAGAAGAAATAACTGCGCCTCTGATTAAGATATATCCCCCTTTGCAAGCGTATTCTTTTCCTATTTCATAAAAGTTTGCAGTCCGCGCTCTGGGCCGTTTAACTCAATCCTACCGGATCCAAAGGAAGGTTAATTCCCACGTTAAATCAGAAGTCTAACCTTAGATATACCTGTTTTTTTACTTTACAAATGCTTAGTCAACACAGTCTGAAAGGGAAGTCTTGTCATATAAGAGAACATTTTTGATAACATCGTTTAGGGAAGATTGAGCTGTCATTTAAACAGTATTTTTTTTTAAAAAAAGAAAAGGGGCCATTAACCTTACTTGCACAAAGCGGGATAGGGGGCTTTAAATGCTAACCGCTTGTTTAAAAGGTTATGCTAAATGACTAGAAAAACGTCGCCTTACTTAAGCAGTATCTAGCTCGATTTTCTTCCTCTCACCCCCCCCCCCACCATAGCCGCCCCCCCCCGTCCCGTGAACGGCAGCTTAGCGCGTCGCCTCCTTCTTCGCCTTGAAACTTTTCAGCACGAGTGAAGTATGAAGATGAGCAAAATCAAAACAAAACCCTCCCATAGGAGAAGTGAGTCACAAAGCACTGACTGGGGGGGGGGGGAGGAGGAGGAAGAGGAGGAGGAGGAGAAGGGTGAGAGACGGAACGAACTAAGTTCTTGCTCCGAGCAAACGGGAGAGTGGGTTTTGCTGCTCCGTTTGAGTGGAAGCGAGGCGTGCGCTAGAGATGTCAAGCCCTTCCTTCCCCCTGCGAGCAACCCCCGAGATCTGCTTCAGCCGGTAGAGAGAAAAAAAGGCAAGGAGAAATTTACTCGGAGGTATCGCAACTATCGCAACAGTTGGAAGTACAAAGACCCAACGGCAGCGTGCGACCAACTTTTCCTCTCCCCCCCCCTCCTCCCTTCGCCTCGGCGCCCCCCTCCCTCTCCAGAGGGAGGAAAAAACTTTTCCAGCCAATCAACGGCGTGCCAGCCCTTCCCAGCAAGGGCTGCCATTGGCGTTTCTACGGCGAAATAGCAGAGGCAGAGGTATTTATTAAAGAGAGGCGCAGTGAGCGTTAGCAGAGCCGAAGTTGAGCCTTAAAAGTAGGCGATCCGGGGAGCCTTACGACTTTTCGCGCGCCCCCCTCCCGCCTCCTTGCTTCCCCCACCACCATCAGCTGAGGAATTCGTCTCCCTTCTTTCAAAAGGGGTGGAAAAAAAAATATATTTTTCCCCCCCCTCCACCTCGTTCAACTTCGCCCGCCGCCTCACCAAGCTCCGCTTCCAAGCTTCCGCGGACGGGAGCGGCAGCTCGTCCACATGTCCGTTTCTTGAGATCCGTTCTGCTCAAGCGGCGACTTCGGAGGCAGCGCGCCCGCCAGCCGAGTTTCTGCAAAGACGCGGCTTTTCTCGCGCGCGCGGGCGCCAGCGAGCGAGCGAGCGGGCGAAACAGACGCTCGGCCTGGGCGCGCGCGCGGGGCTTTTCCTCGCCTCCTTCCCAGCTGTCTTATAAAGAGGCGCCGCTCTTGCCGCTTGCTTAAGCCCCCTTTCCCCGTTCTCCTCCCCACCCCTCTCTCCCCTCCGCCTCGGTTATTTTTTATTATTATTATTATTATTCCACCCCCCGCCCGTTCATATTTTGGCTTCCGCCCTTTTTCTCGCATGAATCTCCTCGACCCCTTCATGAAGATGACCGAAGAGCAGGAAAAGGGTCTGTCTGGCGCTCCCAGCCCGACCATGTCGGAGGATTCCGCGGGGTCTCCCTGCCCTTCGGGCTCCGGCTCGGACGCGGAGAACACGAGACCCCAAGAGAACACCTTCCCCAAGAGCGACCAGGACCTGAAGAAAGAGAGCGACGAGGACAAGTTCCCGGTGTGCATCCGAGAAGCCGTCAGCCAGGTCCTCAAGGGCTACGACTGGACCCTGGTGCCCATGCCCGTCCGGGTGAACGGATCCAGCAAGAACAAGCCCCACGTCAAGCGCCCCATGAACGCGTTCATGGTGTGGGCTCAAGCGGCTCGGAGGAAGCTGGCAGACCAGTATCCGCACCTGCACAACGCCGAGCTGAGCAAGACGCTGGGGAAGCTCTGGAGGTAAACGGGGGGGGGGGGGAGAGAGAGAGAGAAAAGCCAGGCTGGGGCGCCCGGGTGGGCGAGGGCAGCCGAGGAAGAAGCGGCTCGGGGTTGCTCCCAGCAGAAAGGGCGCGAAGGCTTGCAGGCTCGCCCGGCCCGAGCGCGGGAGGGGCGGAGGAGAGCGAGGGCGAAGGGAAGGAGCGCTACGGCGGCTGGCTGGGCCCGGCTTGGGTATCACGAGGGACGCCTTGCAGGAGCGAGGGCCGAAATCGTGCGTGGCTGGAGCGCAGCAGGCCAACTTTCGAGTCTGACGGCAGGAGACGGGAACTGGGCAGGAAGGCGGCGAGCACTAGGCGCACAGGAGTTCTCCGGGCTTTGCCGGAGACTCGCTTTTTTCCGACAAGGGGATCTGGGGCGAAACCTTGCCCTCTTCTCCTCCTCCTCCTCCTCCTCCTCCAGTCGAGTTTTAGTTTAGGGCCGGAGCGGAGGGACAAAGATGGGATGAGAGCCCTGCGTTAGAAGAGAAACCGCTGAGGGAAAAAGATGGGAATGCTTTAGACAAGAACATTGTGGAATCTCTCGCTTACAGTGTTTCTCAACCTTGACCAGTTTAAGGCATGTGGACTTCAACTCCCAGAATTCCACAGCCAGCATTGCTGGCTGTGGAATTCTGGGAGTTGAAGTCCACATGCCTTAAAATGGTCAAGGTTGAGAAACACTGCACTAGAAAGACAACAAGATCAAGGCTTCGTGAAAGCCTGGCTTTTTATATCCCTGAACAGATATAAAAAATATCCCTTAAGATATAGGAAGAATACTCCGAAAAGCATGTTGTATGTGTCCAGCAAGTCTTCTCTGTTTAGATATTTGGCTTACCTGTTGGGGGGGGGGGGAATGACAAAGTTAAGCCCTTGACATAACTTGAGCCCTTCTCTGGAGAAAAACAGGAGCAGCACGTCTTGGGTGTAATGATGATTGGCAAGAATTAGCAAGTGCCAACCAATAAGAAGTTGGCCCAGAAGGATGACTAGCAAGAGAAACGTGGGGTGGGGAGGCAGGAGAGAAGAGAAAGTGAGTCAGCTGGCTGAAGCATAAGCTAATGACTTGCAAAAAAAAAAGGCTAAGGGGAGCCACTTCTGTGGATGCAGAAAGCTTGGGGTGAGTTTAGATGTTAATCCCCCAAATGCCTAGAGGAATCCTGGTGTCTGAGCTGTGGCTGAAGCTGCTTATGTGCATGTGTCTACACAGCGTTGGAGTGGGGTGAGAAAAGAGGACAGTTGCTGTCTTGGGTCTTCTTTCTTATGGGAAAGAGAGCAGGGCCCCAGAATGATTGAAAGAATTGCTGAGAAAAAATGAAAGGAGTGGTCCGAATCTTTTTTTTTTTTTTTTTTCCAAGAGGCTTTGGAGAAGTTTGCAGTGTGTTTCTACCCAGAGGGTTATGCGGGAATAGCAGAATGCTAAAGATTGCCTTTCCTGGTGCCTGCCATTTTATGGTGGATTTTATACACCTTATGTTTTGTCCTCTGGATTGTCAGAAGTTCATTTTACCCAAGTTTGAGGCTTCTGACAGCTGCCTGCAAGGATGCTGGCCTAGTGGTGCAGCAGCAGAATGTAGAGTAAATTTCTAGCAAAGCAAAGGTGCTCTAAGTAGTAAAATCAGGAAGCTTAAGCTTTGGGTAGAACTTAATCAGCCAATGCATGGCTTTGCTTAATTGCTCAGGTTATTGAATGAGAGCGAGAAACGCCCATTTGTGGAGGAGGCTGAACGCTTAAGAGTGCAACATAAAAAAGACCATCCAGACTACAAGTACCAGCCACGAAGGAGAAAGTCAGTGAAGAACGGACAGGCTGAGCAAGAAGAAGGATCGGAGCAGACCCACATCTCTCCAAATGCTATCTTCAAGGCCCTGCAGGCAGATTCGCCCCAGTCTTCATCCAGCATGAGTGAAGTACATTCACCTGGAGAGCATTCTGGTGAGTGTGCCATCTTCCCCTCCTTGTAGAAGATGAGGAAGATCATCCCGTGTAGACAAGTCTTCTGAAGAAGACTATCTGTAAGATACTCCAGTTACCAGTCTGTTGCTTTTCTGGAGCAGTTTGTCAAGGAAATACAAAAGAGCTAGATGGCTATTGGGAAAAAGCAATGGCTTTTGTGTAGCTACAAGACAGGTCTTCAAATAATATTACCCATCAAACCGATGAGAATTAGATAGTCGTAGGTTGTCCTGAAATATTTCAGTATCAAATTAATTGCTTCCCTAAGCCATTCGACCAGTAGTACTAGTCTTAATTTTCATATTGGTGTATTACTACCCACTATAAACTATGAACACCTATTATTGTGGCCTTATAAAGCAGCCAGTTTTCAACTACATGCAACAATCTGCATTGGTACTTCATTCTTATTGGCAAGCTCTCCATCGTCTCCTTTGCATCCAGCCATAGTTAATCTTTAGCTAAGTTATCACTGCCATGCAACACCTTCTGCTCATTAAAAGTGGCCGCTGGTGGGAGCTTTATGGCCCTCTGGCTGTGCCTGTTATCAGAAAGGAAAGAGACCCAGGTGTGGCTTGCTTGCCATGTGACTTCAAAGGCATCAAAGAGAACCTGTTCCCTTTGTAACAACTACTATCTCCTTTGTATTCTTTACAGGGCAATCTCAAGGGCCACCTACTCCTCCTACCACTCCTAAAACAGATGTCCAGCCTGGTAAGCAGGACCTGAAGCGGGAAGGTCGCCCACTGCAAGAAGGAGGAAGACAGCCACCCCATATTGACTTCCGAGACGTGGACATTGGGGAACTCAGCAGTGATGTCATCTCTAACATTGAGACTTTTGATGTTAATGAGTTTGACCAGTATCTCCCGCCCAATGGCCACCCAGGAGTTCCAGTCACCCATGGCCAGCCTGGCCAAGTCACCTACACAGGCAGCTACGGGATCAGTAGCACCACAGCTACCCCAGCAGGCACTGGGCATGTCTGGATGTCCAAGCAGCAGCAGCAGCCACCACCGCCTTCTCAGCAGCCACCCTCCCAAGCTCAGCCACAACCACCACCCCCACCGCCGCAGCAGCACACACTCACCACCCTGAGTAGTGAACCAGGTCAGCCTCAACAGAGGACACATATTAAGACCGAGCAGCTCAGTCCCAGCCATTACACTGACCAACAGCAGCATTCACCTCAGCAGATCAGCTACAGTTCCTTCAATCTCCAGCACTATGGCTCTTCCTACCCGACCATCACTCGCTCCCAGTATGACTACACAGACCATCAGAGCTCCAATACTTACTACAGCCATGCTGCCAGCCAGAGTTCCAGCCTCTATTCTACATTCACTTACATGAACCCCACCCAGAGGCCCATGTACACCCCAATTGCAGACACTACGGGGGTACCTTCCATTCCTCAGACCCATAGCCCACAACACTGGGAACAGCCAGTCTATACACAGCTCACCAGACCATAAAGCTCTGAAGGATGGTGTCAATTCCCCAGACTTATAAAAACATTTTTTAAGCTAAAAGTGAATGGAAGAGAGGAAAAAAAAATATCTCAGAAATGCATTGTGCACTACAAGACCCCTTCAAAACTGACCAGATTATTCTCAGTCAAGAAACATTCCACGATGGACTAAATCCTTTGATTTGAAGGCAGTTTTTTATTTTCTTCAAACAGCCAGCTTAGCTTGCATAGGTATGAACTTGTTAATTATTTTTTAACAATAACTAAAAACAAAAAAAATGAAAACATTTAAACTCAAAAGTATTCCTCTGTGAGGAGTATTCTCTATTTTAAATATTTTTAGTATGTATTGTTTATGATTTGTTACCAATATGGGATTTATACGTACTTGTTTTTAGAGAAACTTTTAAAAACTGTTTTTTTCTTTTTTTGGGGGGGGGGGACAGTTGAACCACACTTAGCAAAAGATTATGCCTTAGCTTTTTTCCCTGCTGTCAGAGGTATTTTTCTATAGCTAACTGATACTTTTAGAGACTAAAATGTGTGCATTAAAAATCAAGGAAAAAAAAATTGGGGGGAAGGAAATAAGTGCTCATTAACACGATTGTGGGAATTTGGAAAGAGACTTTTATTTTTCTAGCATGGAAATAAAATATGTTGAGAGAGAAAAGAATTAAAGAAAAAGCAAGAATACCTTGAGCCTTAAAGTAACACTATCAGACGCCTTAAAGAAAAATCCTGTGAAATCTTCCAAAAGACTTGCACAATTATTTTTTCCCCTGCCAAGGGAAAATATGGAATTCCCAAGAAGAGAGTTTTAAAGGTCTGAAACTTTTTAATTATTATTATTTTATTTGCAACGACAAGCACCAAGTTTGAAAGCCAGAACCAGCATTCCCTACCTTGACCCCTTTTCTTCAGCTTCCAACACCAGGCCAACATTTGTGAGACAAATGAGGTCACTCATAAAACCAGGAGCCTTCCCTGTAAATTGCATGAAAAACTAGAATTCTTTATCCCATGAAGACAGCTTACAAAAGAAGGAGAAGGGAATGACACAGGGACACCAGCTTTAGCAAGGTTCATGGATGACAGTAGTAGGTGGTTTTTCTTCTTTTAAAATTATATATATTTATTTTGTGAAAAAGATGTTTTTAATCGAGGTTTTTTTTTTCAATTCCCCCCCTTCCATATTAGAAATCTTTGTAATGTAAAACAGAAATACCAGCATCTTACTCAGAGGGTATATGGTGCCTAATTGTTAAATTATGGTCTAAATCAATAACCCTTTATTTTATTTATCTCTCAGTCTTTTTGTATTTTATTATTTCTTCAGAATGTGTCTTAGGTTTGTACAAATACCTGGCTCCTATTTGTCTTTCTATCTTTTCTATTTCTTTGGTAAGAATAAACTGGAAAGCTTTTTCTGTTTTTCTCATTGTACAAACAAAGCATGGCTAATTAGTGTATCACTGAGTTATTTCTGCCTGAATACTTTTGGACTCATGATTTGGATCGGACTAAATTAATGCAACAGTATGGTGAGCACAGAAGGTAAGAGTGGACTGAACCACTCTTTCGTTTGTGAAAAATTCCCCAAGTTAAAGCCAATCAGCAAACCTTCCTTTACATGCGGATGTCTGACTTGTGGGGATTTCATTTTGCATGGAGGAACATTTAACAAATTCCCTAAATTGCTATCCAAAATGGTCCAATCCACCGTATTGCCTTAAGGTTCCACCTCTTTATTCTTTTGTCTGGATAGGCCTAGGCTTATTCTGCCCAAGTGATGCAAAGCAACAGTGAATGTAAACTAACAACGCAGGAAGTGGCACATTTCCATTATTTATCTGTCTCTTGAAGGGGCCGGAGAAATGAATGGGTGCTGCTGGAACCACCAGACAGCCTTTCACTTCATTTGGGAGGAAAATTAGAGAAAGCGACACTGGTGAACTTGTGGCCAAACAGTTAAAATACTGCTTTTGGAAAAAGTTAGCTAACTTTTTTATTTTAAAATGTTATATTTGTTAATTATTTTATAGGGAATTCAGTAGAAGAAAAGCTTAAAGCACTCTTATAATATGGTATCTTTTCTACTATATTTAAAAAAGCAGATCTCTTGAAAGTATTTCTGTAACTTAAGTAATGTCCTTTCAAAAAGATTAGTTTTAGATAAAAACAGTTTTTCAGTCATTTTGTTTGCAAAAACCCTTTGGGTCTCTGTAAAACTTATCCTTTTGTATATTATTGTTTGCAATAAATACACATTGTATTAAACTTGGAATGAAAGAGCTATTTTAGCTGCAATTCTGGAAGTGATCTAAATGACCTTAGTGAAGATGCATTGGTGACCTAATCTATATTCAGTATACTGAAAAATCTAGTGCATACTGTTCTGACCAAAGTCGACTTTGGAGTGTACAGCACCACCTATCTACAACTCTTTAAAGCAACTGCATCTTTTTCTGGGAACACATGATTTGGAAAAGTCACAACTGGTTTAAAGAGTAGAAACAGGTGTTACATTCTTCATAGCAGTTTTGGAACTGGGTCTAGAGTACTTGCACAACCCTATTCTATAATAACATAGCTATCAGACTCGAATCAGTTTACAAATTATCACAAATATAGCTAACCAACTTTTCTGGATTGATGGTCTGTTTAGATGTGTTGCTTGCTAATTCTCTTGCCAAAATAAATGGAAGAAATCATAGTGTTCCAGGACTTAAAACTACCGGAGGTTTTATTTTCCCTGTTTAAATATTACAGCATATTGTTTCTTACACAACCTGAAAATATCATTTTCTTTTCCACACATGATTTTTGTTACAATAGATTAACTTAGTTGTATTGTCTTCCGAATGCACAGAAATACCTGACCAGTTCCAACATCTTTGACCAAAGAGTATTGTTCTAAAGGAATTACAAAAAAAAAAAAAAAAAGGCTGAATGCTTCAAGATTCAACTGAATTTAAAAACTATGTAATACAAAATTTGGAACATTTGCTGGGCCTTATTTAAAATGGCTAAGGAAATATGATTTGGAAACAAAACAAGTTAAAAATTGTATGATTAAATGGATTTAGCACTGAGAACAATATGCACAACGGGAATTTCAGTGGAATAAAAAAATAGTAAATATCACACTTAGCGAAAACTGGTATGAAGCATTGCAAATAATATACCACTCCAATATGGATTGTTAAAAATGGTAATACATTTTCTAAAAAAAAAACCCTGGAAAGTGTAATAATCAGGTTGGATCTTGCCCTTATATTAATGGCAATGTAGTAAAACCCAAGAAATTTACAAAAAGATCTATAACAGAATGAAACATTCTAAAAGTTGAATTTCCTTTCTAACTTGCAATCTTTCTATTAAATATTACTAAAATTTATTTTTACAGAGCATACTGAGTTATCTTTGTACATGCCAACAGCATCTAGGATATCTTACAGTTCTCATTAGAAAATGCATATAGTTTCTATAGCAGATAAAGAGCAAATACACATGCTTAATTGTCTAAGATAGCTTCACATTTTAAAAATAAATCTGACCCAAAATTTAATTTAATATGAAAACTATGTCTGGACTATAATTCTATCCATGGACTTGTACCATATCTGAAGTCTAGGCTTGTCTTATTTAAGATGATTTTGTAAACCGAAATAGATTTTTTACAAGATAAGACTAATTTTTCACTTTAACTTCATTAATCAGTTTTAATAACGATATTTTCAAAATGATGTAGGATATTTAAATCTCTGAGGGAGATGGGCAGTTTAGAATAGGAAATATAAATATTTAGATCTAAACTTTAGTCTCAGGATGTGTACTTAATTTACTTACTCGTGTGATGCTTGTAAATCTCTTGTTTATTCACTTTGTGTTTTTATTCTTTTCTCCTTGCTTCTGTTTCTTTCTGCCTTTCTTTTTCCCTTTAAAATGTTCAATTAAAAATATCATTTAAAAATGGGTAAAGGCAACCAATTTATGAGCAAAAGATGCTAAAGTGCATGTACTGGCTCCTGGCTTCCACCTGAAATTCGTAGACACTACTGGCCACACCCACTGGGCAAGTCTCCGTCTACCACCCTTCATTCAGAAAAAAAATAAATGATGGGATATGGATGGTGCCAATGGCTGAGACAGAAGAAAGTAGCAGGGTGCCGTTCAGATGCTTTTGGAGTTCGACCTTCATAACATCTGTCTTTGGCTTTTCTGCCTGGAGCTTATGGGAATCTGTCCTTCCTTTGCCTAGTTCTCTGCTTAATGCAGCATGAGCCCACATTTGGCCTCACAATCTCTAAAAGACTTGCACTTGCCAGCTTTAGGCTGGGTGGCTGCCTGGAACAGAACCCTGGCTAAGTAACACACTGCCTTGTTGAAGGTAATGACGATGGAAGGATACAAGGTAGACTGCTTGCTTTGGCATGAATCACCTAGGGAGTTCACAGGATCATATGGGCTTGCAAATCCTCTCCAGCAAAACAAACATATGAGGTCATTCCTTGAACTTCTGGGTTTTAATCTAAACTGCTGCTGCTGCTGCTGCTCTTAGTGATTTTCTTGGTCTCAAAGCATTGGTGAAATTTCTGCCCACACAGATCTTGGTAATGGCATGAACAACAGAGAAAGTTAGCTGTCCATGAAAAGCAAGATACAATTCCAAGAACCGCAGTAAAGCCATCCCAATGGTGGTCTTTTCCAGTCAGAGATGTCAATAAACAGTTTAAGGGAAAAACAACAACAATAATCACTGACCTAGATTTAGTGCCAACTTTTGAGGATTGTTAACCACACTGTTTAGTTTTGCTTCTGTTGTTAAGGGATAAAAATAATATTTTTGTGGTTTTTTTTGGGGGGGGGGGTCTGATGTTCAGCTGCCTTAATTTTATTTTAAAGACGGGGACAGGTGAGTTTCAACAATCCAACACTGAGGGAAACAACGTGTCTTGGAGAAGCTACCAATCTTGGTAAGAAAGGATGCAAAAAATAATCCTTAGCAGCAGCAGCATCTGTAGCAAACTGGTTAGGCCAAAATGACAACATGCTCATGATGCCATCAGACAAATTCCAGCATTATGTATTTATGTCCTGTCTTTTGTCACAGGTAGGTTGTACCAGTAGCATGATGATGACATGCATCTATTGTCATTTGCTCCTCTTCCAAACCTCTCCTACAAAATGCCCAGGAATATTCCCACATAAGCTGCTATTCCGTTATTTTACTTTCTCTTACTAGAAAACATTGGAAAGAAATCCCAGCTCCCTTTAATTTGGCCAATGTATCTGGAAAGAAAGAAATCAGACTTTAATTATTTAAATTCTTAAGCCCAGAGAGAGAGGGAGTCAAATATATCCTAGCTGTTTCCATGCCTATGGAGAAAGAGACCATCCAAGTAAAATCTTTGACAAAAACTGATTTCAACCCAAAAAATAATAATCCAAGAACTTGATGAAATCCTCTCACTATCAGTTGTAGTCCTTTAACTTTGTACCATCCATGACTCCAATTTAAGAACAGACAACTTCTGACACCTTTTTCATTTTACATTTTGCTTCCAACCTTGCCTTCTCTTTTGTAACTCCTTGTTTTTGATTCCCTATTCAAAACTCCTAAAGTCTATTGTAGGTTCCAACTCAGCAGGAAAAAGATAGAAAAGATGCTGTATTTTACAACCCTGACTGCTCTAAAACAATGCAAAGATATAAGTAAGGATTGTTAACTGCAATGAAGGAAGCTGTCTCGTAAATCGGGTGACTGGTCCATTCTTGGTCCCACTAAGTAAGAAGCATTCTCCAAAGTTTCATAAAGAATACTTTTCTTTTTTTTCCCCTCTTGCAGAATTGAATTATTATTACATGGTTACTTACATCTAGAAAAGCAGTTATATTATTATTAATTAAACTTGTACATTGTGTATGCATACACACACTGTTATTAAATACATTTAAATATTTTAAATGACTTCCTTCCATATAGTAAAATACATATTCTTTGCTGCTCTGCTTGAAAAGAAGAAATACTTGCTGTTATTAGAAAACCAATTTAGTGGTCTGAAATTTAACAGCATCTATTCAAGGACCAGATGCATCCAGATTGCATCCTTTATGTTCCCGTGCACACAAAAATGTCTGGCCATCCATATTTGTCTCTTTTCTTCACTGCCAGCTCATTACTGTACTGTGAAAGGGCCAAGCTTCAGGAAATGTGTTGTCAGCTGAGTTCTTAATAGGGAGGCCTAATCAGCCAAATTCAGTTAATTGGTTAAGTCCAGCCCTTTCCTGCTTAAAAAAATTCCTTATACTGTATTCATACAATCAGACTTTCAACTAAACCCACCAGCAGGAATTTGTTTTGGTGTGCTCAGAATTATTTTTGAAACCCTCTGGTCCAAATAATATGCCAGTGGTTCAAACTGGAATCCATGATTGTTGTGCTGCCTGTTGTGTCTAATCCCATTTTGCAAACAACACTTAAGGGCCAAGCCAGAAACACAAATGGTTCTTTTCATCCTAGCTCTGTTCTGAAGACTATTTTGGGAGTTTGAATGATGTGACCCTGACAGATGTTCTCTTCAGAAATGTATACTGTATTCTGGATTACAGAAAAAGAGTGCTTTTACAGTAAACTTCTCTTTCAAAATGATGTTTTGAACTCATATTTGTTGGTAAGCTAAAGCACATGTACACAATATTCTTACACAATTATAGCGTAGTTTGGGAAACCTAAATCTCTTCAAAGGTGTGAACCAAGACAGATTTCAATTGTCATAAATTCCAAAATAAACATCTGTCCCATAATATCCCTCACCTACATATTTCTCTGCTGGTGCAATGACTTCTATATCGCTCCTTGCTTTTAAAGGCTAATAGTTCCATTGCAGATATACCTTTAAAAAAAATAGCTTCCACATATATAGTCAGCAAAAGTCTAAGGGGAAGATTAGCCATATGAACACATGAAATGAAAGTGAAGTTTAAAAGGCAGAGCTGGTTCAACTATTATAAATCTTCAGCGGCATCTGCAATATGAAGACTCTTAAGTATTCCCAAATCCAAGTCTCCTGTGCAAAATACAACAGACTTATGATTATATGAACCAATGATGCTGCTGTTACATTTCTTGAGGGAATCAGCTTCCAAGTATCACCAATAACAAACACTATAATTTTCAGACTATTTCCATACCCCAATTTCTTTCTGTGAAAGAAAGCAATCTTCAAAACAAAAACAAAAATGATCACAGGCTTATTAGAGATGTAGATGTGTGTGTGTGTGTGTGTGT